CTGCTGCCTCATGGTCACTTCTCGTCCACCATGACACCCACGTCTTTCTCTGCAGAGCTGCTCTCCAGAAGGTTGGTCCCCAGCCTGTACTGGTGTCTGGGGTTATTCCTTCCCAGGTGCAGGACCTTGCACTTGGCCTTGTTGAATTTCATGAGGTTTTTCACTGCCCAGTTGTCCAGTCTGTCCAGGTGCCTCTGGGTGGCAGTGGCATGGGAACCCGCTAGCTACAGGTCTCCAACTAGACTCTGCACCACTGATCACCACCCTCTGAGCTCTGACACCAGCCAGTTCCTAATCCACCTCACTGTGCACTCATCTATCCCACACTTCTGGAGCTTGCCCAGGAGGACATTGTGAGGGATGGTGTCAAAAGCCCTGGTGAAGTCGAGATAGACGAAATCCACCGCTCTCCCCTCATCTATCCAGCTGGTCATTCCATCATAGAAGGCTATCAGGTTAGTCAAGCAAGGTTTCCCCTTGGTGAATCCATGCTGGATCCGATGCTGAAAACCAGGGATGTGGAAGGGGCAACGCTGCCTTCGTTGGGAATGAGTTTTGCCTTCCCCAGGTCACCTTGCACTGTGAAAAATGACATTTCTCATGAGTTTAAACTCTAAAAAAACTTTACTGGGTATGTGGAAAATTGGACCATATGGGAAAAATCCCCAGTCTACCTGCTTGCCATTTGGAACAAGGCAAGTGTCTATTTTGGATACCTGCGTCCCATCAGGGTTCAGTGTGTTTTTCCGACATACTAACAAAGGTCCCACAAGGCCGGAGTTAGTATCCTTGACAGCATCAGTTGCTGAGTAATACAGATAGGTCAGGCATGGTGGGTCACTCTCTGTTGGGCCTCCGTTTTCAGGCACTCTCCATCTGTATGTGAATGTCTCCCCTGGTTTAACATGGGATCCCGGCTTTGGGTATCCTGCAAGCAGGAAATTGAGAAGTGCAAAGGTTACACAAAGGTTATATTTTTCCACAATATAAGCACATAGCTTGAAGTCAGACCTAGCTGCTGGTTTCTGCTAACAGGTTCCCTCTTCCAGAAAAAGCTGAACCACCATCCCATAGCCTGGGGACTTCTGCTCTAACCCTCAGTGTGAAGCAACATTCCAAGCCCATTCCCAGCAGAATCAGGTTAGTTCCTTCACAGAGGCTGATGCTTGCCAACAAGACATTCAGAGCACCTCCTTGCTCTTCATTACCTCCTTCTAATGCTTGCAGCTTGCCTGCCCTATCATGAGATTCATCTAAGATATAAATACGGGCTCTGACTTTTCATTAAGCATCAACAAAGCAATTACAGTAGCAGGTGAAGCTAGAGCTGGAGCTGGGGCTGTTTGGAACTGCAAACCAAATCTGACCCTTATAAATGTTTATTTTTAAATGCACAGCCATGAACAGGAAATGTTCTGGAACAGGAAAACAGGAAAACTATCTGTCATAGTCTCCAAAGGGCAGTTGCTCTTGCTTCTTTTGGAAGCTTATTTTAAAGGATTTAAGTGTTTGCCTGTGTGCCATGCACAGTGGGGAGGTAGCACCATTCATAATTTAGCCACAGTGTTGGTATTCACTGAGGGAAGACTGAAAAAAGTGACTTGAAAGGGAAATTAGGAAAAGCAGTCAGCTCTGCACCCATTGTAGTTCTAAACAATTTGTTTCATCTTTGATATAAGGAAGATCAAACCAGAAGTTTAATTTAAAGCTGAAGCATCCATTGACTGGATTTTCTCAGCCCAATCAGATGTGTCTGTCAGTAGGGATACTGCACTGACCTAATTTTGTGTGTGCTGCTTCAGTTATTACCGAGATCCTGGAATGCCTCAGGGATAATCCTCTTGAAGACTCAGACAGGAGTGAAAATATTAATATTACATTTAAACACATACTAGGTGCCATAGACCACAATAGCAAAACAGAGAGTTCCTGCAATATTATCCGATGCTACAGAATTCATCCTGCAACAGCACTCGGTAAACAGAGGTTGCTTGAGAGAGAAAAAATAACTGAGAATGGATAAGCACCAAATGCAACATAGAAGAATATATTTTGAGACCATATACGGAAAAAATAAAAGCTGCCCAGTCAGCCTTAGGTATGTTTAGCTAAAGTGTAGCACATGAACAGTTTGTACATAGATAATGTGCAGCCTTTGAAAAATAATGCTCCTTCAGTGTAGAGCTGCAACCGCACTGCATCTATACACACTGGGAGGCAAATACGGAGGAAATCTAAGACATGAAGGCTACAGGGAGAGATGAAGGGGCAGAAGATTATTAGGAAGAGATAGATGTGGTTTCCTCTTCAAAAACCCAGAGGTGTGCAGCTCATGCTGCTGCTGAACTGTAGGATTTGGGTTGATTTTGCTCCACACCGAAGGATGCAGTGCCAGCAGACACTATAACTGGGAAGCGTTAAGCAAAAACATGACAAGAGGGTGAGCAGATGGAAACCACATTTCTATCAGGGAACTATATCTGCCTTTAGTAGTGTTTGTGAGTGTACAGTGGATTTCAAGGCTGAACATAAGCTATCTTTTTTCAAGATACACTGGGGCCTGCTGCCAAATGTGCTCCAATGCAAGGTCAGCAACTGCAGATGTTATAGGATTTGATGAGCCTTCTGTGTTGATTTTAAAAGTTTTTGTTGGTTTGATTAGATGATTACAGTTTTGCATGTTGATCTAATTCTACTGGAACAGTTCTCAAAGAGGGATTAGGTCCTAGGAGTTTCTTCTGGTAAATTGCAGTGGAAACAAAGCAGTTTAGACAAGTGTTCAGACAGTTCAGGCAACTACTTTCCCCTCAGTGAGCAGTGCTGCAAATGCAGCAAAAGAATTATTTTGGAGACCACAATATTCTCTCTACAGAGACTACAGAGAGTCTGTACAGATTCAGCTCAGCTAACTTTATTCCCCTAAAATTTATGTCACTAACCCAGGTCTAGGCTTCTTCTACATTCAGTGAAGAGAGGCACCACCAGAGAGCAGCTCACTGTCTATTAGAATAGGTGTTCACAATAAACGGGACTTCTCACTGTCTGAAGGGATCGTTTCTTGCCACTGACTACACAATTAGACAGATCCTAGATGACAAAGACCCCTTTCTGTGCCCAGTATGGGAGGAAGCATTCAGTAAATGCTCCATTTCAACATCCATATATTTACAAGGATTATTAAGAATTGTTGCTGCTTCAGACCCCAGGATGTTCATATCAAAGATGCTTCCCATGCTGCAGATCCTGACAGCGAAGGAAGGGGAATGCAAAGCTGGACTCCAGAGCAGGACATGAAGCAGCCCAGATCATATAGCTCTTCTCAAAGACTCATCAGGGACATGGTGCTAGAGCCCAGGCTCCTCTATTTTGGAGCATGCCCCAGGCAGCTCCATTAAGCGCAATTGAATGAATTTGTTTATAACTAATACAAGTAGGATTTGGTTTCTGCTGTTTATTCATCATTAACAGATAGACACCAGCTAGTTTCAGATGCCTTGTCTGGTATACACCCAAGGGAAAGAATCACCACAGGAACAGATTAGGGGAAGGCGCAGCCCTGCAGGCTGTGACATAAGAGCTAGATATAAACTAACCAAATGATCTCTCCTGTGCCTTAAAATCCATGGACAGGACAAAAGTTGCAGAGTGACAGAAGAAGAGCCTCAGACCCATGTCTTATGGATGCAACAATGCAAAAGTAGTTTTAAAACTCACCATCTAAGTATGGAGCACCTTCTGACAGCTTGCTATAGCTCACACCGTGGGCCATAATGCTATAGCTCCTCTTAGCTTTGTTAGCAAAGGTAACCAGCACTGTATCTCCCACTTCAGCTTTTATAACAGGACCTGCAGAAATGAGAGTAAAGGAGCGTATCAGAAGAACTGCCAGCTACCATGTTTTCATCTAAAGAAGAGAGGGCTGATCAGCAGCTGTATGCCCAGAATTCCTCTCTGGATCCAAGTGGACTTCTTCATTCAAACTTGATTGAGTAACACGATGGGTAAGTATTTACTATACCAAGTATTCCCAGGTGTTTCAATTCCTCTGACCGCCTCTTCCTTTTTCGGAACGTTGCATCAGTATATTCCACATATTGAACTTTCCAGTATTGCCCTCCTATTCTGTCAGTTCCTTGGGTAAAATATATTGCAGATTCACTGTGAAGTTGGAAAATCAGACAGGTTAAACAACTGGAGGTGAAAGCAGAACCTTTCCTTTGGAATAAAGTTATTCCAGCCATGGGACAAATGATCCTCAGATTATTAGTTTTCATATGGTTTTCCAGCAAGCCAAGGGAGATACTACTGATCTGTACTTCCATTAGAAATTAGTTAACTTATTTGTGTTCATTGTGCATTAGACTTCCTTACATTTGACTCCAATTTAATTATGGCAAGACCTATGTCATTATATTTACACTATGGATCTCTCTCATCCTCTTTGGTTTTTTTTCCTAGCACATAACATAATAAAGTTTATTATCATGAAAAAGAGGTTACCACTATGGTTTCTCTGAGATACTGATTGAAAGTGGAAGAGCTGCCTAGGCCATCTAGACTTACTGGGATTCATTCGGTCGATCTTTGTGTACCTCATCAGGGTTCACTTTCCCCATGCAGTTAGAGGAGCAAGATAAGCGCTTCCAGAAGGCAGACTGGAACATCTCATGAATCTAACTTCTCAACAAGGTTGTTCAAAAACATTCCTACCCTTTCAATTAAAATTAATAGTAGTGTAGGACCTAGCCCTGATGACTCACTGTAAAAGTCTCTCCCAGACACCTGAAATTAAAACACAACACGAAAGGACAAGAAGGCTTACCTGCCAGTGGCATTTAAACCCTGCCCAGTGAATTTATCATAACCGTCAGGTCCATAATTCCAGAGCACTTCTTCAGCAGCAATATAGTATAGTCTTTTGTGACTGAGTGGTGTAGGCCGAGAGAAGTTTTTCTGGCAGAACTGAACATCATACAATGCCTCCATGCCACCTGAGAGGAGAAAGAGTCTGGAGACAGCTCTTGTGCCAGCAGAGTCAACAGTCTCACCGATACAAATGTACATTTGGAAGTCTCTAGACAGGAGCTATGTGGACTGGAAATTTCTACTTTTATAGACTCCCTATGCCTTCTCTAGGCCAGACCCTATCACTCTACCTTTGCACCCACAAGTGAATCCCACTGAAATCCATGATCAAGCTTTTAAAAGTATTTTTTTTCCCAATCAGTGACTGGTTCTAATTATACAACAGCTAGTGTCATAACACTTGGATTATAGTATGTGCTTTGCATCTCCCACACCAAATAGCTATCACAGCGTCATTTTCAAGTTCGTTCATGCAATTGTCTCCTACCAACCCTCAGGGAAAAATGCCAATTTTTGTCAGATTTCTCTAAAATCTGTCAGGATTTTTCTCTGATTATCTCTTTCTATATCAGAGAGTGAATATGAAGGCTCTTCTTACCACTCATTAAAGTCTCCAGTTTACGTAGAAAGTGCACTGTCAGCATTGGATTTAGCAAGCTTTTCTCATATGCATTGCCTCTATTTATGATTAAGTCATTTGTAGTAGCTGAGGATTTATATAATACCGTATATGTATAATTTTCATGGATGGCTAAATTCATACTCATATGTACAAGTAGACAGAAAAAAAGCTCCAAGTCCAGCTCCCCCTGGAAGCTGTACTCTCAATTTTCTTTTCCTAGCATAAGGCAAGCTGAGTGTTGTATCTGAGATGATCAGGGAGATCTCTAGCACTGTACCTCGTAAATGTTCATTGACCTGACAAGTTATCAGCCACCTCCCAGCATTTCCAGGAGTCATCTCCGCCGTGATGAATGTTGCTGGAAACAGCCCGACGACATCTGCCCTCTGGCCTCTGTTGGTGAATGTGTGGCCGTAGAAGTACGCAGCGTGGATATCTATCTCGCTTCCCATTCCAAACAAGTGCCAGGACATGGGATCATTGGCACACATCTCCAAGCCAGGGAGATTGCCATAGATATATCCATTAATAGCTAAAAACAAAAGTATGAGATTTCATGAGGGATGGAAGACAAGTGTCTCTGACCCCCTTTCTAAGGATGATGCATTGCAGACCCTGAAGCATCTGAATGTCTGCTCTGAGTCCACAGCTGGGTTACTTGCTCACAGACTTCTTGACAGAGAACAACGATTTTGAAACGATTTTAGATTTGAAAACTATGATATCAGCCAAGTGAGTCTAGTTGGCTCTCTCTTCATCACCTTGCACACATGCCAATGTATCAGGACACTGGGAGAACAAGAGTCATACTTCGGAAAATGTTTTATCTTCTAGATGTCATGCAGCCTATCAGCATGGCAATTTAACCTCCAGACCTGTTTCATGATGAGAAAGGAGAGCTATCACAGAAAACAAAAGGTCCTACTGAAGTGAAAACAGACAGGTCACTCCTAGATATTGCTACTATATGCTCAAAAGTCCTGCTCACCATGCATTCGGTTGCTGGTCTGGAAACCTTCATCCTCTTTGTCCACTGTGGTTGGTTCTAAACAGAAGGTGTTTATATTCTGATCAAGATACCAACTGAAGTTTTCATCTACAATGCTAAACATCAGGGCAAAAGCGTTAGCAGCACCAGTCCTTTCTATTGAGGTGTCATCTGCAGTTCCTAAATTGTAAACAAAAAGCAAAGTGCTAGGAAAAAATCTTGGAGAGATTTGAATTTAAAAATGACAATAACTTTGGAGTGCATGGGGACATACAGTGCTCCACCCTTGATGTAAAGGGCAGGATGCATCTCAGCTAATTTCACTCTTCTGAGACAGTTTCATCCCCCTCTACAGCCTTTAAACAGGTAGGTGCATCTGGAAGTTGATATTTTACAATCACTTTTTCTGGACATAAGTACAAGTAGTGACCAAAAGCTGCTGTTTCATTTTCCTCATCCTCACCCCAGTCCTGACCTTCACTCAGTGTTATCAACTTTGTGTCTACTCAGTGAACCAGGTCACGAACCTGGTGCAGCTGGAAACCAGTGATGATTTTTTATCTAGGGATTAAGGACAGGCAAGTGGTAGCCTGTAGTTCTGTTGCATGGAAGTTGCTGTAGAAGCAGGCAAGAGGCAAATGGTCTTCTGTACACACCACTCTCCATGAACTAATGAGGGAGCTTCGGGGATCATCTTGGCATAGACAGTTTCTAAAAGGTCAAGCACAGGATGAATCTCACCTATTTACGCTAAGTTCAGTATCATTATTTGAATAATCATTTGTGAATAACATGAGAACTTAGGAGTGGTTATACTGGGTAATCTATTATTAAACTCTGACAGATTTCTAATTCATCTAATTACCTGACCTACCTCTGAACCTTGAAAACTGTTGCATCCCCCTAGCTTATAAAAAGGAGTCCCGAAGCCTGACCATCAGCTCTGTGAATAGTCAGGCACCACCTTCCAGGCAGAGAAAGAGCAAATCATCATGCAGAACCAGAACTCAAATTCAAGACTGAACTTGCAGATAATCTGTCCTTTCAGGCTAGGATTGTTTTTAATATGCTTTTCTCTAGTTTTGCTTATTGTCCCATAGTTATCAGCTCAGTTTCACATATTCGGGTGGTTTTGCAGATTTCAAAGGCTCCCTGGGCGAAATAAGTCGGAGAGATTTTAATTATCTGAGTTAAGTTAGAGATCAGGGCCATCCTTTCCACAATGAAGTCTTTCTCTTCTTCTGAACATATGAAAACTAACCCAGGTATATGTTCTGAGTATAAAATTAGGGTTGAAGGAAGGGCTGGAAACAGGTGATCAAAGAATTACTTGTACTCTAGGTGGAGAAGGGACGACGGCTTAGCTGACAAGAGAGGAGAAGGCTGGTATGTGATTCCTGACCATTTCTGCATAAAATTAGCAGACTATAATGAATATGAGACAGGCAGTCACCTCAGGTGTTCAGAGCACATTCCTGTATAATAATCATGTTATTGGAAGATACAAATATATAATCCACGTAGGAAAAAATAACAAAGAACACTGGGCTTTCAAGTATCTAAATACCAATACCAAAATAACCCTCCCAGCCATAATTTCATTTCCTGGGCAATGAGTCTTTCGACTGTCTTGAAACGATGCCAGTTTTGGAACATTTATTCTGGTCTGGGTCATGGCCAGCAGACTGCAGAACATGCTGCAGTTCTTCCATGAGCTGAGACAAATCTCTTGTGAAGCCAAAGGGGAGCAGGAAGGGACTCGTCCCAGAGCTACAATACCTACCCTGGGATGCTCCTGGAATGGCCCAGCTATTCCTTGCCCCTTTTTATGGGCTATGTAGGGATAGATTCTAGACCATCAGGCTTATACCTGTAAGCAAAAATGACTGTTAAGATGCCAAGCTTGGCAGAGGGGCTTGCTTTGTCAATGGTTCCAGCTCAGTACCTTTTTTACAAACCAGCAGTGGCCCAATTAAACCAGATGCAATATCTCTTGGTGTGTCAATGTGAGAATGGTAAATCCAAGTCAAGCAGTTGGGGTCTGACAAAGTTGGGGAATAATCTTTCCTTACTGGCCATGTGTACGTGTAGTTTCCACCAGGAACAACAAAATCATCCTCTTTGCTTTTACCACCGGTTCCATCTGGGTAAAGTGCTCCTAAAGCATTAAGCAAAAAGAATAAACTCCCTTTTAACCTCCTTTATCAGAAAAACTGCTTTCTCTAAATAAATATGTAACTTCTGTTTTATTATCACTTTCAAAAATAATAGCAACAGCCACAAACACACAATCACTAAGAAATTGCAAAAAAAAAAAAGAATGTATGAGGAAACTAATAGCATTGAGAATTAAAAACATCATATATCAGTAGGCAATGGCTTTGAAAACACATCTAAAAGGCCCTAGTTTTTCCTTGGCTCTTTACTTGCATCAGGCAATCATTTGCATATTTTGTCAGCTAACATTCTATATCTTCATGGAAAATTGATAAGAGTAATGAAGGTAAACAAAACACATAATACCTTAATTGAAATACACATGCATAGTTCTTGGATTCGAAAATTAAATCATGCATGTTATAGCCCTGTCAAGAGGAAGCCATTTGCTTACAAGAACTTTATGCATGCAGATAGGCTAGAGGTGGGAAGAAGGTACTTCTGTGACTAAATTCAGTAGAAGAATTCAGGATAAAAACTCATCTAACCTGTTTTGGTTTCAGATCTGTTCCAGGCATCTAAGGATTCTGGCAAAAAGTTTTAAGAGGTGAGGCTGTTCCTCTTTTTAGTCACCAGCTGCTATTGCCAATGAGTTTATGAGGCAGTGATCCAAAGTTAATGGCCATAGTAACAAATTATTAACCAACTTTTAGTCATGATAGTTACTACATAAGGGGGAAAGGAGAAGGGAAAAAAATAAAGGAAATTAAAATGGCAAAACATCTTTTACCTTCCGAGTCCTTGTCATAGAAGACCCCATGTGGATGCACAGAATATGGTCGGGAAGCGAAGTTCTTTAAATGGATGATAAAGACATCCTCTTCTTCAGCCTTCAGCACGGGCCCCAGAAAACCCAGCCAGGCTGCTTTGGGGATCTCCTGGGTGTAAGTGTCATCTGTGAATTGTCTAAAAATAGCCTTTTTGTACACACGCCCTATCCGGTTGGCTCCTCTTGTTGCATATACACTTGCAAACCTAGTGTTAGGAAGGGAAAATAATTTAAAGACAAAAAGCTCCTTTTGGAGATATTAAAAGACTTGCAGTTCAGATAAAAGGCTTGCAGTTCATGTAAGCCTGAGATATATCATCTAGCTGATGGAATAAGGGCTGAGGAATCAACCTGGACAACACTAACAGGTTACAAGAAATTTTTTGTGCTCTAACAGTTACTCTACTAGCAGGTCTGGTCATTAGCACAGTTAATATAATTCTTCCCTTGAGGAGCACCTTCTCAGGCTTTTCTGTAGAGTTTTAGTACCTTCTCCCTCTTTGGCATGACTGAAACCTCACATATAAATCCACGATTGTTCAGAAGGAAAATAGAGCTAAACTAATTCAAGGATTAATTCTAAAACAACAACAGCAACTATAATCATCTAGATAGTCTAAAAACAAACAAATGAACAAACAAACCCCATAGAATATTTTTTTGCCTGAAATGCATAACTTCCACATGCTAGAGCCTATGCTTTATAGCCACTTCAAGGGATGGAGAAGCCAGCATACGGTCAGTGGTTAACATATTATAGCTATTAAATATCTGCTTCATTAGAATCCTGAACTTTATTTGTAACCTAAACCAAACCACTGGTTTCCATTATGCCCTTTCTTTCTTAGATCAAAGAGGACACATACCATCAAAACCTTCTTTTCCATGCAGGCACTTGCATACTGTGATTAAATTGTCTCCTACCATTCTCTTGGACAAATCAAGTACACTGAGATTCTTTATTCCACAAATCTTTCCTGAAGCTCTTTTCTGAAAGTTTTCCAGTATTTCAATATCTCTTTTAAAGTCTGAACACAAGAACTTCACACAATACTCAAGTAATACTCCAGCTAGAGATGCTTCCAGTCGATATTCCTTTGCTTATACAGCTAGGAATTAGGTTTGCCATTTTATCTAAAACATCATATTGGCAACCCACATTCAGTCTACCTCCCCTTAAGTCTTCTTTACCTCTCTCTAGCATGTCTTTTAAGTGACATACACACATTTCAAGTCTATGTTTTTCACACGGTGTTCAAATTATCCCTCTTTACCACACAACAAAGGGTAAGCTGTGCGACCAATTTAGCCCAATTCAATGCTCCATGAGTTTTTGCATCCCCTGAAGATTGTTTGAACTTTTATATTTTCCAACAAACTCATTAAAAATGTGCTAAGTACTCATGAGGTATCATTTGCAGTAATATGACAATTTCCTATTTATTGTACATTTTTGTAAGTGACTGTTTTATCCCATTTTTCTTTCGCTGCTTTTTTACAGCTTTGGTGAACATTGGGTGAAATATGACTTAAAAAGTGCAGCTGTATGCTATATTTTTTTTGACATAAGATCTGCAGCTTAGTCCCCTGGCAAGCCATCCCTGTCTGACACTATTATTCACAGTATCTCCACCATTTAAACTAAATCCTCAAACTGATCCAAATTTAAAAGCTTCCAGAAAGAATATTTTTTCCATTTGAAAGTTATGGTTCAAGACATAGACAACCAAGAGCTATTTTGGCACAGAGAAGGCATCACCAAGGATACCACAGTGGCAGAAACACTCTGCTAGGACGGAGTGCAAGGGATAGAGGTTTCTCCATCCTACCACACACACATAAAAGAACATATATCAGATAGACCCCGAAAGCCTGATTAAGGATCAAGGGCCAAGAAGTGTGGATTTTCAGTGAATTAGCTGCTTCACGGTATTTGTCAATGTGCACAGCATGGCCTAGCAAGTTACCCCGCGCTCACTCAAAGGTAGGAGATATCTTCATTGCCTGAGGGGAAGAGATAGCACTAGGAAGTTACCACATAGCAGTAAGGGATAGCAGTAACGCAATGCAAATGCACACACATCCTTACCTCACGGCAGTGTATTTATATGCCCATGCCGTAATTCAAATAAGTTAATGTTAAAAATTATTTGAAATAATTTTTCTCTAGAAAAGAATTCAAATGGAAAAAAATCAGATTTTTTTTAGACAAAATCTTTTCTTTTTCATAAGCTATCAAATATATGAGACGAGTTTCTGCAATGCTGCTATGTTTTCTACCTGATGACAATCCCTCTCTCCCCTGGCTCTCTGCCAGATAACATGTGTGTGCTTTTTTCTTAACCTCAGAGCCCTGGGATATGTTGTCTTTTCTCCAGAAGAAGTGTGCCCTGGGAAAATGAACACCTTTTGAGTTGCTTTGGTGAAATGTTTGACATGAACATAGAGCAGGAATCCCAAAATCCAGTTAGGTACCAGGTTCAAGAACATATTCTGAAAACTTTTGAGGTTTAAGTACCAGAGCCTTTCTGGTGCCTGAAGCTGTCTACAGATCTTGTTCAGTAGCATCTCTAGGACCTGTGCCAACCTTCCACTTAAAAGCATTTACGAGCCGGGGAAAGAAGTTCTTTCTGGAGTCAGCTTTCTGAAAGGAGCCCTACTCAAATTCTCCATGCACTCAAACTGCAGTGACTTCACAGTGGCGATGCCTGCTGCCAATGCAAGAGCTATGGTCAGTTGAAACACTGGGGTGGCTCTTCTGCTCTGGGCACCAAGAGCAATGGAGCCAGCAAAGGGTTTACAGTAATTTGCAGCCTTCGTTAATTAAGGTTTTCATTTAATTGCGCTAAAAAAAAAAAAGAAAAAAGAAAAAAGAAAAGAAAAGAAATTAGCAGCATAATCTAAACACTGTGTTAAAGATTCAGGCTCATTTGTATCTCCATTTCCTGTACTTTTAGAGACTCACAATCTCTAAAGGATGGAAGCATTTCCTACTGCAGGTGCTCAAGTTTTGGGAGTTTTTTGGAGCACAGAAATTACAAATTCATTTTACCTGCTTGCTGGAAAGGTTCAGAATCCAGTTCTTCTACCTATGCACACATACACACTTGACCATATCCCTATGGTTGCCCTCAACATACAAGGAGAGAGCACATTAATTATCTGAAGTTCCAGTCTAGGCCTCTAATTTTCCACGCCTCATACAGGAGGACCTCCACGTGCCCACCTCAGGTTTGTGAGCAGCTAGTAGCTCTGTGCCTCTTATATGTGCTGTGGTACTGCACATACAGTGCTTGAGACCCTCTGCAGGATGACTGACTGCTCTAGAATTGGCAGAAGCAGTCACAGAAATCTCATGCAAAGGATGGATCTCCTTTACACCCCTAAAATGGACCACTTGGCATGGTCGCCTGGCCAAACTGTTGGTGTTCTCTGCTGCTCCCTTTGTGGGACATAGAGGTTTTCTCTCCTTCAGCTGTTTCAGCAAGAGCCTCTTTTCAGCGCTCTGTGAAATCTCCACTGTCTGCATCATCTACACCAGAGCATCTTCAAGGCTGTGGTTCCTTGCCATCCTTGCCATCCATCTCTAGGATCCCTTGGAGGTTGAAGTTGCTTTCATTACCTCTCTTTGACATCAGTGGTCAGGCAGACCTCTACCTATCTTTTTCTGGTGGCATCTTCTTCCTCGGGTAACATTCCACATTCTCAGTCACTAAGTTAAACATCCCCTTCAGCTGCATTTCCTGCTTTGTTCCTTCCCTCTGACTTTAAACATTACTGCAGCAGTTGCTGCTGCTCCAAATGCTATAAAGGTTAAAAATGTCTACTTCTACGAATCTGCCTTTGCCTCTTTCTTCCAACTGTCACCCCCTGCCAAAATGTCTCATATCTCTCATTATTCCCTGGTCACAAGGCAATAATCTTTCTCCCTGCTTCCTCATGCTTTCCTGCTCACTTTAAATAATTTTATCCTTCTGCAGGCATTGCAGTATTGCTGCTTGGATCTCTTCCATGTTTCTGGTCTTGTGGAGATGTAAGAGCTGTCCTTTCAAATCTTCCCTCTGATCCTCCAGCCCAGTTATCATCCTGCACTTTGTGTGCAGAAAGTCTTGAGGATCAGCCATTCCCTCTCCTTGTAATGGGAATTTTTCATCCTCTGGAATTGTACTTGTGCGAATGTCCTAGTTTCCCTCAGAAATCCTTCAGTTGTACTGAGTCATTCCTTAGTCTCCAAGCAGGTCTGTCTTAAGGTTACATGTAGAAATAAGCCTGTTTGTGAATCATGACATAAAAAAATATTGTTCAGATTGGGAAATCCATGCAAATCCTTTTCTTATTTCTGGATCTGATTTTATTTTCCCAGTTGACAATTTCCAGCAGTTTTTATGCTCTAAAAAAGAACTGCTATGCACCATGAGTGGGACTGGAGGGTACGCTTTTTTAGAGGGAAATGAGCTCTAACTCCCTAAAGACAGTATTAGTTAGCATTAATATAATTACAGTCAACTATCTTCCTGCAATGATGAGCACTACAGTTCCTCCAAACAAGAAGAAGAGTGAAACAAGAGTGTCAGGTAGATTTAATTTCAATGAATGCAAGACTCGACTTGCAGATAATCTGACATCTCAGGGTAGGACTGTGAGTTAAGTGTAGTTTATACATTTATTTCTTTTATCACAAAAGATTTTTTTAAGGCTTTTACTTTATTTATGTTACCTTTAATCTTAAGAAATAGTGTTAGAACCAATAGATGTTGTTAGGTTTTTCATAAAGTGCTCACGTGTACTATATTACAGAGTATTTTAAGAAAGGAGGAGATGGCTACACATTATGCAGGGCAAAACAAACAGTTCCACGGTGCATTGGAGCCAAATCCTTCCTTGATCAGACTTCAAAACTTGAGCTTGTTTGCCACTGTCATCTCTGCTGAGAAATCAGCACTTCCAACTACTAGATGTGGACTCTTCAATTTTCTCCAGAAGTTATCATGCCTGATACCTACAGCAAAAGGGGCAAGCAGTAGACTTCTTTCTTTGCTGTTGTCCAGTTAATGTCCCATAGATTCTTTTTCCTCTCAAAGTTCTCCCATTTTCTTGTAGCAAGAGGCTATAGGCTGCCTATCTTAGTCCCTGGGTCAGGTAACCTGTTCAGAAGTGATCCTTAGCCAGCTGATAGCTGCTGTGCTATAGCCCATGTAGTGGCTGAGAGATTGCTGGGTAAAGGTAGACCAGGTAGCCAATTCCGATTTATAGATCTCCTGAGCATAAAGCATCAAACAACAAGGGACGTTGCACGTTTTCAAAAGGCATATTTTAGTCCATTCCTGACCCACACTGGCAACAGGAGAGGTCAACCAAACCTGTAACACCTTAGAGAAAACTCTGATGCTGGTTAATTGTGTCTATATTGGTTTCTCTCCTAGAATAAACTTCTGTGTTGACTGAAGTCAACAATAAAATGCCCCTCAAGCTTTGTTAGGGCCAGGATTTTGCCTTGACTGAACTTTTGACATTGTCCCTTCTCAAAGTGATCTCCTCTGATGATGCAGTTGGGTCATTTGGCCACATAATGACTCAGCTATTAGTTTACCACCTATGACGACAGTTTCACTGTCATCTACCTGGGGTGGGATCTCCTTGTAGGCAAATTGCACAAATGGTAACAAATCACCCATTACTGCTGTTAGGTTGAAGACTTGGCCCAGGGAAATGTAGCAATGATGGTATAAAGAGAAGGGATGAGATTTCTCATTAGGTAAAACCTAAAACATCTTCCACAAGCAGCGCAAGACTTAAGTGCCCATTGTATAAACTAGCACCAAGTTAATTTACAGGGATAATGAACCAAACTCTATTTCTGAGGGCTGAGCCACAATGGGGAGAGAAAGAGTTATATACATCAAAGCAGAACACCTACATACATATGTATTTTTTGAAAGGTCCTTGCCTACGTAGACATTAAAGGGAGCAATGTCTGATCTCACCCTCCTCCTGAAGCTGTCGGGGTGACAGTCATCTTCTGCACACAAAATTTCACTGGAATCTGCAGCATATCCAGCAGCACTGACGGTGCCTCGCACCCTGCATGTCCAAACCATGATAGTTTAACCATGTCAGCTCTTTCATCAGCTATATCAGACAGACAGGGGTGCTGGGCACTTTCCCAGCTCATCTATATTCAGTGACCATGATTCAGCTCTTTCTGCAGCTACCCAAGTCTTGTGTATTTCAGAGAGTCTCTGAGCTTGATATTTGAAGGAGGAAATGGCAGTGAAGTGTCTTGGCCTTACCCATAGCAGTTTGAGTGATGAGAATTAGTGGAACAGCTTGAGGCTTCAACTAGGCAGGCCTCATGGCAGAGGCAAACAGCCTCATGAGATTTGCCCTGTGCAAACAGCATGCTGGCCCTTGAGTGCTAGAGCATAATAGAGTACAAGTCATAATAAAAATTAGCATCCAAGCCGGATAGCTACGTTAACCTGGTGCTACTTCTGGGTTAATCAGCTCTGATGAGAGGCAGCCCTTTCAGATCACACCCAGGGAGGTGCTGATGCAGCTCTCAGGCTGCTGGTTCTGGAGCCAGCTCACTCAGCACTGGCACCGCGGGATGTGAGCACGGGCTGAGCCTGGTGACATAACCAGGTCTCCCCATTTCCAGCCCCATGTCTCAGCTACCAGAGTCTCTCTTCTATAAAGCAACCTCATCACTGGTAAACTCTAAAGACTTTGGAAGATGCTATCACCACTGGCAAAATAACGTTGAAACACATCTCTTAAATCTCATTGTCTGATCCAGGTAATGTGACACTTTCCATTACATAACTGTTAATTCAGCATTTTTATTGAGTAGCTAAAAATAAGTGGTTTTGATTATATCTCTTTGGGCTAGCTGGAATCAAAGGGATGTGTATGCAGCAACGCTTTAAAGATAATCATTTTGTCTGCAACCTTTTTATCTGCAGTTCCCTATCAATAAAGCTGGGATAGTGCTCATCAAATGGATGTTCTGAGGGTGCATCACAAGGTGAGAAGTGCTAGGCTCAGCAAGCCTGAGCACTGGTTCTTGTAGTACATAGCTGGCTTAAGAAGTATCTTGCTTCTATCTAAGGACTGATCTTAAACTTCACAGGACTATGTTTTGCTTAATACCACAGGAACAGATTTATTAGCTGAAAAGACAATCATTAGTATTCAGTTTTAAATTTACATTAGGGATTACTCTAAAGAGTTAAACTTCCAAAAAAGCTATTATCATTTCCCTGTTTTACCTGTGCAGACATTACAGAGCATAGCAGTTTTATTCTGGCTTAATTTAAAGCAGCTGGGGAATGGGCTAAGCTATTTACAGGTATCACTTTCTTGTTTTGCAGTCTCCTCAGAACAGTTCCCTAGATTTGAAGCTGCCTTAAAAGACAGATAATATTTCCTCTTTGACTAAAGCCTTTGGAACTAACATTCTGTAACTATTACCCTGCATCAGTGGCTGAAGGCAGAAGCTATCCTTCCTCCCAGTCATGTCATTAAAAAAGCATCACATTAGTGTCATAGAATTTAGAGTAAATGTTTCATTTACATTCCAAGAATTCAAAATGCAGACAGAATTAGAAGTATGTTTAACAAAAGAGATTGAAAGTCTCTCTGCAGTGTTGGAGAAGATTTACAGATAGTTCCTCTCCACTTAAAGATAAACTCTTTCCAGTTTATCCAGAAGGGAAATATATCCTCTGATAAAAATAGTAGGAAAGTGAGAAGTTTCAGTGTTTAAAACAACCAGAAGAATAACTTTTCCCCTGAAGCCTATTTCTATGGTTTGGAAACAAACTGTTATTCAGACATTAACCTATAAGCACAACATCTTTAACTTGGATGCTATCTGGGACCTTCGTTTAGGAAGGGCATAAGTCTCTACAGTTTGAATTAAAACATAAAACTTTTTATTGACTGTTCTTTATGAAGTCCAGCTAATAGTGGTTCTCAAGTTACCACCTGCTAGCAAAAAGTTCTGCATTTCCTGGGATTTCCTAAGAAGCCAGAAAAGACATTTCTATTTCTAACTCCTGGGACAAGCCGTTGATCTCAAGACCAGCTTGTACGGGCACTTGGACCTCCTCACGCACCCCTTGCTCCCAACACAACCCAAACCTTAGACACAGAGTAAGGACCTTCAGAATATTTCTAGGTTGTGAAAGACAGCAATTCCTAAAAGTTTTCATAGAATCATAATGGTTGGAAGAGAACTTCAAGATCATCAAGCCCCACGTGTGTTTCAAATAAACGGTATACAGAGGCACCAAAGCTCTCTGCCATGTCCATACAGCGTTCAAGCCAGCGTCTCGATGCGGGCAGGCAGGCAGCCAGCCTCAGCAGTGTGACAAGTGTGCACCTTGTCCTCCTCTGGCTGGGACAGGACTCTGCAAGGTGCCTACCTGCACACCCTGCTTTCAGGGGCTTCAGTGCTGCCATTCTCAGTTGGATATTTAAGCATCTACCTAAACAGGTTTCCTAAACAAAAGTCTGCACACTTACATGTGGAATAGGTGAACCATGGAACAGACCTCCACGTCTCATTGGAAAGAATTGTGCTCAATTATGGCAAAATTGCAATTTCAGATGGAAAAATCATTCCCAGAAATACCTCTGCCTCTGTGAAACATGCTACATGACACTTCTTTGACAAATATCTGTTCCTTAATGTCCCTTCAAATGCACAATAACTATCACCCTGCTAAATCAACCACGACAGAAGGGAAGTTCAGCCAATATCTCCTCTTACCTTGAAGCTGAAATCCTTCAAATCACAACAACATCAGAAGAACAAATAGAAGCCAGCTTAAAACATCTACAGCTAAATTAACAAGATAGTCAATTTTCTTTGGAGTCATGAATATATCTCTGAGTTAGCAAAGGACTCAGTGACTTACTTGTCCTCTAAGAGACTTTGTCCTGTGATCAGATTTTTCCCACTCGGTGCATAGTCCCAGTTCTCTTCCACAATCCCGATATAATAGGTTCTGACCCTTGCTTCTCCAAATGCAAACAGCCAGAGGAACCCGAGAGTGCGAAGGCAGCCACCAAGCTGCACAGAAGGCATTTGTAATTGTGATTGCAAGGCTGGCAGCGGGCAGGCAGCAGCAGGATGCACCACAGGGAGCTCACCCCTCCCTCCTGGCTCTCAACAAGTTATAAATAAGGAATGGTCAGAGCAAAGCTCCTCCTTTTCAACAGGTTAGGACTGGGATAGGTAGAGAGCCTGGCTATGCAGAGCAGGGCTAGGGAGGAGGTTGATACCATGACAGGACTCCTGCCAGTCCTTCAGTGAATGCCTAAATTGCTCACTTACCTGTCAGGAGACAGTCAGGCAGTCCCCCCGCCCCCTTTTTTTTTTTTTACAAAGCTGGAGTGCTTTTTGGTCCTCTTCTTTCAAACTGCATGATATGGCCTGTTGGGACATTTTGCTTTTTCATTTTTTTTTCCTGGTCTTTCAAAATGCTTTTCATTGTTGTTGTTTTTGTTGTTCTTTTAAAGATTTTATTAGCTCACTTTGTTAACCCTTCTGAGATTTCTTAAACTAGCATCTTTCAGCCTTAATTCAATGATAATGGTATATTCAGTGATATATATCACACCCCATAATTATCAGAGAGAAAAAGAGAAACTTTGTCATTGCTGTTCCAATTTCTAGGCTTTTCTGACCTATTTGTTGATATGATGAGGGATCCAGACATATTCATTTTTACAGTGCGACACCTTGTGCAACAAAGGTTTCTGAAAACTAGAGACTCCACTTTAAAGATTTTCCATTTTGATACCTAAAATTTAAGGTATGCAGTGATTACTTTTTTTATTGAACTTATTAACTAACATATCCACATAGCTTTCTAGAAAATCTCTCCTCCTTTTAGCCTAACTTTCGCTAAGAGGATATCTGTATTATGTCTTGTCAAAACTAAGTACAAACCACTATGACTATGAACTCTAAACTTAACATCTCCAAGAAGTTACCTAAGTACCAAAACACTTTGCAAAATACTATTTTTCAGTGATTAAAGACTTTTAAATTTGTAATTGTGGAATACAGCATTTCACCTGAGATTCATTCATAGCTTTAACAGTTGTGAAATTCCCCTTCCAGCTCCAGAATTTTGACCTCTTCCTTGCCAAGTTAATGCTTATTCATTGGTAAAGGTATTAGAGGCTTCCCAGGTGAACTTGGTAGTGACATGTTAAACAACATGAGGCAAAATCCAATGCAGCAATGTGAATGGATTGTTACATGGTGGCTGCATGAAGTTCACCCTCTAGCTCCATGCTACAGCTACAGCTACTCACAGGGCTGGCTGCACTGAATGCCTCTCCCTGGCATGCATGTTTCTCTGAAATCACACATACCTCACTCAAAAAGCAAATGCAATTCACATCAACCCATTTTCTAGCCATGGTGAGTCTCAACTACATTCAGAAAGCATGCAGAGGAGCTTATTAAGGAAGCTTTCCATTTCTTTCGTCTATGTATTGCATCTCTTTAGACATGATTACTGAAAGCCCATTATACATGAGTAAAAATATAGTCTGACAATTGCAAATAATGAGCTTAACATAGTTTTAAAAGTTAGAGCGCCTCAGATGGAAGTCACTCCGATAGAAGATGATGTTGTCTATCTCGAGTCAATGAACTGATAGATAGTGGGAAGAGAAGTGATATAGCGACACAGATGGTGCACAAAGGTCATGGATCTGGCAGCTACCAATTTCTTGATCATCTTTGCAAGGTTGTCCTCTCTTTACTTTTTTTTTTTTTTTTTTGTAAATCACACACTGCCCAGACTTTCAGTATCTCACGTCATTCTGTTCTCTCCTCCAAAATACCATTACTTAAAAATCATCTTCCTTTTCCATTGCTTTGTCGTGTCATCATTTGTTACTCAAATGATGCCAGCTAACAGCATTGCGATTCTAAAAGGCATAATTAGAAAGCAAAAGAAGAGGCAATGAGTGCAGGACAGGCAGAGATTTTTTTCCACTAGCTGTCAAATGTGCAACGCTGCTGGGAATTATAGGCCAGGTGGTGGGCTATGGAGCTGTGCAAAGGCCAAGGTGACACTTTGAGGTTAACAGAATTTCACTGCGATCTTTGCACAGGGCCGAGGATCCTGCAGCTTGCCACAGTGCATTCTTCCCCCATCCAGAATAGCTGCCCTCTGAGCCCAGGCAAACTATGAGCTTCGACTCTGCCATACAAATAACTGAGTGTCCAGAGCTGGGTACTTGTTATGCAAGTGATTATTGTCATAACATAGTCTGAGTTTTGTATCTGAATAGGAAATGTGTTTAGTTAGAGGATAACACGCACCTTGAATGAGATTGCATACACTTTGCTGCTTAAATCAACCATTTACAGTCATTGGAGAAATTTAAAGGACAGATACAGGGCAAATTTCATCCAGGCAAATTGAATTTATCTTGCTTTATTTATTTCTAACTAAAGATTTCTATTATATGTCTAACATGAATTTATTTATATAAGCTCATCTAAATTATATTGCACCAAGCTAATGCAGAATAGGAAGGGGGAGTGTCTAATTCTGAGCTGCCCTATTGTCATTTAAACAATAATAGTGTTATGTCCTAGTTTTCCTATTGCTTCTCATTGGGGCCCAGTTGCATGTTTGCCAGAATACATATTCAAAATGCAAATATGAAGTTAATATCTTTGTCTCTTACTATGAAATTTCTTTGTGTAACAGTAATAAGGTCTGAATATTAGCACCTTATATCTGCAAAAGTGTTGTAAATCTGGTAAACGCCTTAGCTTGGCTTCAGCATTTACTAGATCTGGCACCTTTTATACCTTTTGCATCCACGCATTACCACTTAATTACCTTGTCACATCATTAAAACCAGACACATTTACATTCCGGAGAGGTACTGTAGGCATGACTCAGAAAAAAAGATGAAAGAATAGCTTCCTTGCATCAGGAAAATTTCTGGGTAATTCCCTTCAGGCAGTAAAGTAATGGGATTAAGTTTGTCCCTTTGCTGAGGATCCTTTCAGCAAAAAAAATGGCTGGATACTGGCTCCTCCAAGAACTTCTGCCCCTTTGAAGGCTAAAATTAGTGCAAGTGGGTTTCTAGGCTCTCAGGTTTTGTAGTGATGTTCGTAGGTATGAAGGGTACTAGCATCTTGATGCTAGTCTATGAATGAACTTTAAAAAAATCAGTAATGAAGCTTGT